GGTGACACACATGTTAGGTGACAGGCGTGTGGGCTTCCACCGTGTGAGTTATGACTCGGTTGATTCTATGGTACTGTGTTGTTACCTTACCTTGTTTCTATCCATGAAATTTCTATGTGCTAGAGTAATTGAGATGTGATTCATGTTAGAAACCATATTTAGGTTACATGCTTATCCTGTTGGGACCCATAGAGGTCATTTCTACTATTAAGTTATTTAATTAAATTATAAATTATGTACTCAGTCACATGCATCATTTGCATATCATATCTCAGTCTTTGTTATCATTTGTTGCCACATTATGTTATCAGTGTTTGGGATGTTTGGCATGAGATTTGTGAGTCTGAGAGACTGGAGAAATTGATGATTGTGTGAGGCCGAGGGCCTGTTTGTGTGATATTGATAGGATCGGGCTGCGCGCCGCAGCGGGTACTATTGACTCACGATGGGATCGGGCTGCGCGCCAGATCGGGTACTATTGACTCATGACGGGATCTGGCTGCGTGCCGTAACGGGTACTATTGACTCATGACGGGATCTGGCTGCGTGCCGTAACGGGTACTATTGACTCATGATAGGATCGGACTATACGCTGCAGCGGGTACTATTAACTCATGATGGGATCAGACTGCATGCCGCAACAGGTACTATTGATTCATGATGGGATCAGATTACACGCCGCAACAGGTTTTATTAGTGCTTGGGTAGGATCCGCTTCTCCGGAGTTTGACATACCAATAGTGAGCGCAGTATTTATTGATTCATGATCAGATCGGGCTGCGCGCCACAGCAGGTACCGTACCATACAATGTTGAGTGACTGAGTGAGCTAAGGGATTGAGCATTATAAGTGGGAGTGTGAGACAGTGAGATTGAGTACTCTGAGTGTATGAGTACATGAGTTTCTCACCGTGATGCATTGCATTGACATGTATATTTGACATACAGGTATAGAGATGCATTTTCTCATGCTATACGGTATTGCGACATTCATGACTTCACATGCACATTGACATGTAGGTATAGAGATGTACTTTCCTCATGCTATCTGAGATTGAAATATTTTATCTGTTGTTGAAAGTTTTGGGAAAAAATCACAGTTTTATGATATACTCACATTTTGGTAATTTCGATGAAAGATTTGGGTTTTACTGTTATACTTGAAAAGCATGCCTATTTTTTCGTAAGTGTGAACGAGTTGAGCATCATATCCTTGAGTTGTTTCTTGTACTACTTTTATTAAATTGTTATGAGTTATTGTTGGCTATTGGCATTGGACTCTGACCGCTGTCCAAGCTCATCACTGCTTTCAACCTAAGGTTATGTTTGTTACTTATTGAGTACATGGGGTCGGTTGTACTCATACTGCACTTTTGCACCTTGCGTGCAAATTTTGGATGTTGATGTTGTTGTCCATGGCGGGAGCTGGCCTTGAAGATATATCTGCGTTCCGGTCATAGCTGCCTCTTGTTCTTGATAGCTTTAGAATTATTAATATGTCCATGTATATTTAAAACATATGATTTATTTTTTTCATATGAGCTTTGTAAACTCTAAATCTTAGAAGCTTATGATTTATACTTTCACTGCTTGGAAATTCTTTGTATAAAAGTTCAGTTGTGTTATCGTTACTTCTCTTAATGAATCTCATTGATATTAGATTGCTGGTAATTGACTTACCTAGCGGGTTGGGGTTAGGTGCCATCACGACAAGTTGGATTTTAGATCGTGATACTTATAGGCTTAAATACGTTATGACGGTTACGTGAATATAAGACTTTTGAAACTTGTGATTTTAAATATGACATAATATCTGTGGTTATAAGAACTTATCATTAAAGGTAAAATAGAAACTTCAAGTCAAATTATTTCTTAACTTAAAAATGTATCACTCTCTGGACTAATAATAAAATCATGTCATTTTTTTAAAACGGATGGAATATTATATATTGCACGATTTATCGGTAGGCATCAGATATTTATGTCGTTGAGCGCAACGTACTATTGAACCAATTACCTCTCTGCGTCAGTCACTTCAAAATACTCTCAATCTTCCCCTTTAGAGTTGATCATAAACTATGAACCTATATTAATAGTACGATATCAAGTTAATTGACGGAGTTAGAAAGTTACTTATTCTTTAGTTCAAGTCGTATATTTATATTTATAAATTTATTAAATATATACAAAAATTAAATTCAATTACTAACATCTAATGTTATCACCTAACATTCAGAATTCAAAAATTTCAAATTTTGATTTCAAACGTAACATAAAAATTATACACATCTTCCCTCTCTCCTAGCGGTGAAAAGCAATTTTGACAAAGCTCACATGGGGGAAAAATTGGACTAATAACTACAGGGGCACGTTTTTCATTTCCATGAAAGACATTTAATTTCCTTTAACGTCCCCAACCCGACAGAGGAAAAAATTAAGATTTCACCAAACAAAAGTTAAGAAGGGAAAGCAACTTTCAATTGTTATAAATTGGAGGAACCAAATGAAGTGAGATGCGCAAAAACTTCATCTCTTTGAGACCATTATGACTAATCCCAATAATTTCAGATAGAGACACCTCTTTAGCTCTAAGAATGGGATTTGAAAGGGTACGTAATATTTATGTTCAATTTTTTTCTATAGTATTTTCTTTTAGACTCAAGTTCAAAGACGAGCCAACCCAGTAGTATATTATTTTATAATAAAATTAACCTAATACTCATTTCATTTCAAATCATAAAAGATATTTTTAATTGAAATTTCTTCTTTTGTGTTTATGAGATAGGAGTTTGACATAATGATTGTCCCAACAAAAGGTGAAATCAACACGCCACCGCCACCACGGAAGAATTTGAGTCTCAGTGTGGTGGAACCTGACGGTAAAGATATTAAAACGTCTTCGTAAGAACTGGACAGAATTTTGACTCAATATATAGAGACATTGTCCATCGAACAGAATATCATATAGGTAAGTATATGTTCAGTGGCCTTTTCTATATATATATATATATATATATAGAGAGAGAGAGAGAGTTATAGTTATCACTTTAAAAAAATATTATAAGATTAGTAAGCTAAGGTCTATAGATTGGAAGGCTAAATATCTTTGGATAGACGCGAGATCAACAACTATAGCTGCATGAAGCCATGAAGTATGATAATGTTCTTTGCTATCCCTCCCGAAAGGGATAACATATACTATATCCACAGAAAAAAGACTATGGATATCCTAATTTGGCCTTAATTTCAGTAAGTGCTTACCTAAACGTAGAGTAATGCAATCACTTTAATTACTCTCTCAGTTCATTTTTACTTGGCACAATTTGACTTTTCACGTAACTTAAAAAATAATAAATGAAGTGTATAATTTACCATGATACTCATATTAATTGATGCATATTTTATTAGATTTGAAAAAATGATTTGAAATGAGAAAAATATACTGTTGGTATAACATGAAAAAAAAATATATCTTCTCTTGATATGCGTAAAGTGATAAATAAAAATAAAAATCTATTTTTAGTATATATGTCAAGTAAAAGTGAACAGAGCGAGTACATTTGCTCATCAAAAAATTTCTTGTTCGATTTTTCGTTGTTAGAATGCAATATAACTAAATCAGTGAATTGAGTTCCAAACTAAATATTTTTGTACTTTTAATAAATTTTTTAGTACAAATATTAAAATTATATGAAAATTAATTACTAAATTCACGTAAACCCATAATTTTTGCATAGATGTCTAGAGCTCTCTCCTCATCAAGCCGTGGACACATAGGAAGTTAAAGTTTTTCATGTTTATTCAACTGTTCCTTGAGTTCCTTGAAGGATATTTTTGGAATAAAAAAACTTAGCTTTTTAAATGAAACAAGGCCATGTGATATCTCATGAAAAGAGAAAGTGTGACAAACTTTTTCAGGTGATATCTACCTCATATTTTGTCACCCTAACTACCTTCTCCTACATGCCACAATAGTGATGTGCCTAATTCTCAACGCGTTTCTTATAGTTTGTGTTCCACAATTTGTATATACATGTACAATTTAGGGGTGGTTTGGCCGGAGGTATTAGAAAAAATAATGCAAGCATTAGCTCTATGTATTACTAATATCTTATTTGTTATATTTTTTTAACATGTATATAATTAATATCATACTTGGTATTACCCTATGTATAAGTAATGCATAGAAAACCATGACATCCGTAATACCAAGGCTACTAATGCATGTATTAGATTGGTTAAAGATAAAATTATCCTTAAAGTCCCTTAAAGCTTAGAATATGAAGGGCATTTTTGTAAATAATTATTTTTCTTAAAAATTATGCAATACATTATAATTTTAATACACCACACCAAACAGTAGATAAGGAATAATATCTGCATAACTAATGCTTGCATTACTAACTCATTCATTACTAATACACCTTATTCCGCACTATTCTTATGCACCCTACCAAATGACCCCTTATAGTATTGTGTACTTCCGACAACTAACAGTACCAATGACAGCTAATGGGTACCAATGCATGCAATATATTTTTGAAGTTTATTATTAATTATTAAAAAATATGTAGATTATTAGTTAATTTCGTACATGTGCCAAAATTAATTTTACAACGAGAACTAGAGAAATTATTTCAAGAATAATGTAAACAAAACTTTTTAGTCATACTTCTTCTCGAAATATTTAAACTTAGCCTCTTTTACTTGGTTTCTTTACAGGTTATCCAGTTAATATATGTTACGAGCACCNTATATATAAAACTTTGGCCTGAAATGAGTTTAAATGGAGTAAGACCATAATGAAGATTTATATAGTCAATTCTAACTTATTTGGGACAGAGACGTAATTGTTGTTATAGAATAGTTTGACAGACCTATTTTGCACTTGGAGACATTCTACGATATTTATACTTGATCTAAAAAAGAGTTATGTACACATTTAGACACCTCATAATAAAATGATGTATTTCACTTTTACCATTTCAATAATATTTGTGCAGAAGAGAGTTACACCCCACTGGAATAATATATGCATCAAAGGATTCACATTACTCGATTTCTAAAGCAACAAGAATGTACAGAATGGAGATAGAGACCATCAATACTTTAGTCAATGGGGAGATTGATTATGCAGATTTGAGATCAAAATTACTTCTCAACAAGAACAAACCGGCCATCATCAATATCAATATTGGTAAATATTATTATAAGATCCTTTATCTTCCAAACTTCAATATATGGTCAACTAATCTTCCCATTCTCATACGTGGAGTACTACTACTTTTAACAATAATTTAGGAACTACCTTCAAAGGAGCTATTGATGATCTTGATCTGGTCCTACAAATACTTCAAAAATGTGGTTATTCCAATGATAGATATTACATCCATTGTGACGCTGCACTATATGGGCTAATTGTCCCATTTACCCAACATGTAAGATTACTTTATAATCCGTTATATATTTTCTTTAAGAAAATTCCCATCAAGGGAGAACAAATAGAAAGTGACCTAGTTCTCTATTATATTTGATAACAGGTGAAAACAATTACCTTCAAGAAGCCAATAGGCAGTGTTTCAATTTCAGGCCATAAATTCTTGGGATGTCCAATGCCTTGTGGCATTCAGATAACAAGGAAAAGTTACATTACTAGTCTCTCAACAAAAATCGAGTACATTGCTTCCGTTGATGCTACAATTTCTGGTAGTCGAAATGGCTTGGCACCAATATTCTTATGGTATAGTTTATGCATGAAAGGCCGTGCCGGATTGCAACAAGATGCCAAAATGTGCAACGAAAATGCCCGATATTTGAAAGGCCGACTTCATAAAGCAGGAATTAGCACTATGCTCAATGAGTCTAGCATTATCGTTGTCTTTGAACGACCTAATGACCCTAAGTTCATTCGTCATTGGCAACTGTCTTGCACAAGAGATATGGCACATGTTGTAGTCATGCCGGGCATCACAAGGGAAACAATAGACAATTTTTTCAAGGATTTAATGCAGGAGAGGAAAAAATGGTACCAGGTTGGAATAATTGTGCCTCCTTGCCTAGCAGATGATATTGGTTCTCAAAACTGTCTTTGCTCCAAACAGAAGATGCGTCATTGAATTCCTTAGAAAACGAGACCCTGGATATGGAGTATGCTTTTATGCAGAGGTGACTCAATAAAATTGGTGGTCTAAACGCCAAATTTTTAATAAATAGAAGACCTTAAATTTATTTGTGTTTATTCTTCTTGAAAAAAAAAAGTTGTTCTTCTTCTTGAGTTTCAGTATCATTTTATTCAACTAAAATGGGACTTGTTCATATGTAGAACAGTCTCCCATATTGTTAAATTCTTCTTTTGTTGTTTGTTATTAATTTATTAAGAGCACCTCTTGAGACTATTAAATTTCAATTTTTCTTTTTTGTTTCTTTTTGAGTTTTGAGTTTTATATATATATATATATATATATATATATATAACAACCAAAGTTGATAGCTTAATAATTGAAAATTAAACACCATTGATAGCTTAATAATTGAATATTAAAAACCATCAATACCTGAGGGAATTTACTACTTCGATATGCTTACTTATTGCTCGAAACCTGAGGAAGAATAAAAAAAAAATGCAATTCAAATTATTCGATGCTCTTATTATTTGATAAAATATGTAGATGCACATGAAGAAAACAAAAGAGTATAAGCGCAAACAGAAACAAGGAAGGCGTGATTTAGAAATGTGGCTTACAAACAAATGATACATCTCATTACACGTTAGGGCTCATTATGCTTGTAAATTTCCTAACTAATTCGGGCAAAGAACAAACCTTATAGTGGTAAAATAATTAGCCTCGAAATACATGCAACCTACACGGGGTAAGATGATCATGAGGGTACTTGTATAAGAGGGATATATACAAGTTGGAAGTATCCAGGCTAATTAGCAACTAAGTATGAAATTTGAGAATTTGGTTAAGTTAAAGCAAAAGAGAAGTTAATGAAACTCTAGGATCAACCGTAGCCACGGTTGATTCATAACAAATTACGGATTTGTTATTCGCAAATCACTGGACTAGCCAATAGCGTACTTTTCTCGGAATATGACAAATGGTCAAGAACCATACCATACCAACTGACGAACACTCTTATTTAACACAAATTCAATAGATTTTTTTCAGATCCACCACTCCGTTTCAAGTTCTCTTATAGTAGTAAACTAGACGGGTTTAGCCCGTGCAAAGCACGAGTCTAACATTTCATAATTTTAGGTAGCAAACTTCTTTCACTTTTCAATCCTCTAGTTGGTTTAAGCGATGACAACAATTCAGAATATTGATGATTTATATTCTGATATAATTGGTCATTACTTTCAACCAACATACTCTTGTAGCAAGGAAGTCAAGTAAACGTAACAACAAGTAAAAACTAAGTATGATAACTTGGACAGTGAAATAAACCTCAAACGTAAAACATTCTTTATTTACAATTAGGTAATGTAAATTCAGAAGTCAAACATGAAGACTCAAAAACTGAAAAGTAAAATACCTTCCATGTAAATCAAACCTCCCAAACATTTAAGTTGCAAAAGCAAAAGAAGTCCAATGCTTAGGGAAATAAACAACAAAAAGTTTTACTTTGCAATCACAGAAATCAAGCATTCACTGAAAGTTTTACTTTATACCCTTCTTGCTCTCTTCTTGCTGCCACCACACTAAAAGCAATAAGAACTTTTAAGAACAAACCGGAAAAAAAGTAATGGACTTTAGTATCTTGAAAGAAGAAATATAAAAATGAAAGTTTCAATTGAAAATATCTTAGCAACTTTGGGTGGTTAAGGACCAGAAGCAAAGGGAATACAATTTTGGGTTTGACATATCTATGATAATTGAGATTATCTCTTGGAACCATTAATAGCTTGTGAAACTAATCCATTATTCGTCAACCTAATACAGGAAATAATAATCCCTAAATTAGTAGATCTTAATAATAATAATAAATAAAATCTAAAGTTGTTAATAGCAAGACACTTAAACATTCTAAAGGATGACGTTAGTAATGGAAGGTCAATATCATGGTAATATCTGAAACATCGTATGTGGTTTCTTTAAGAGCTGCAGAAAAGACGTAAGAATCTGCTATGCACAAGTTTGCATATTTAAAACTACTTTCAAGTAGACATATAACCGAAACATTAGTTTATAGAGAACTATTTGATCTTTATATATCCATTACTGAGCACATTAGTGATGGTCATGTTGTCTCATTTCCTTCTTTATAGCATATTATTGAACACATAAGGATCATATCGAAGAGAACCAAACAACTAACAAAAGCTTAATTTTCACTTAAAACATCGATTTATTATAGAATATCAACTTCGTGTAGGACGACGGAGTATAACAATTAGCATAACAAAAAAAAAAAAAAAAGAAACCATCACGTTGCAAATCGGCAAAATCATAACCTCTTCCAAGAGTAGCAAGTTAAACCAACATCGGCGGCTAATAAGCATGAGTTGAAATGAAAAAAAATGTCTAGAGTTGGTGGTCTCATTACAGATTTCTTTGCAGCTTCTCAATAAAGAGAGTTTCCATCTTTTTGACAGGCCATGCATCTATTTTAGCTCTTTGGAAAAAGCTATAGGAGAAAGATGGAAAAAATAAATATATTTCTTGCACTACTACATCTCTTCAACTTAAATGAACATAGGAAAATAACCTCTGTCAATTATCATACACTATGTAATAATCTAATACCCTATATCATAATTGTACCCTGTGGCTATAAACAATTTTGCTAATCAATCCTTGATAACTCCTAGAATTCTCGAGAACCTTATTCTGTTTATCCTGTGTGCTCGTCAAGTTTAGCGCTTGTAAATTTCGAGCTCAAAATAAGTACCTGTTAGTTTTGTCTGATACCAAAAGTTCAATCTGTAATCTCATCATTCTAATCTTATCTTTGGCCTTTGAGATTAATGATATCGAGCATATATGCGATGATTCATTAGATTTCTTGTTATGATCCAACAAATTCATTTTCAAGGGAAGACTTCATCAAACTTTGATGNATATATATAAATAATTCACAACCATGCATATTGCCGTGCTTTTGAGTGAATAAGCACAATATGAAAAATAAATCTCATAAAATACAAAAGTGACATTGCTACGTTATTTTCATAATTTAGTTGACCATTTAAGTAATTAATTCCTCCCTCCACAATAAAAAATCAATTCAAAGAGTATAACTTTATTTTTCCATTAAAATAAGAGAGGATTGATTCAACTTTGACATATTTAAATTGAGCAAAAATAATTGTCTATTTTAAATTCATATTATTATGTAGTGCGTTATATTTATTGAATTAAACCCGTAATCTTTTAAACCGCATATAAATTTAATTGTTACTCATATTAGGGGTAAACAGTTTGGCGCCCACTGTGGGGATAAGGATACTAGTGGTGATTTGATACGAATCTCCATAACACACCCTATTTTACACTTGTTCTTTGAAATTTTAATTCCAGGTTAGCCTAAGGATGTCAAATTCTCAGTCTGCCCATTTGAATGTTGACGCAGAGTCAGGCCATCATGGCGAGAATAATAATGTGGTGCCTAGTAATGATGTGTCTCTTGCCGATCCCAATAGTGTTCCAGTTGCCAAGCCGGTCGATGCTAACTCGCAGCTGGCCATCAACATCAATTTTCCATCTGATCCTGAAAACAGTGTTCAAAGGGGATCCCGGCCAGCGGCTCGAGAAGCGCCCGAAGGTGAAGGTAATGGGGTAAGCCTACGACTGATTTTCGAAATGTTGCAGGCTCAACAAGCGGCAATTGCATAGCTGCAGAACCAAAGCCACGACCCTCACATAGTCGAGCCCAAACAATTCTAGGAAAATACTCGAAGAGATGAACAAGTTGCCATGGAACCAGGTGAAGTCATACCCAAAGAAACTTCTAAGGTGATGAAGATGCTCGAAGCATTAACAAAACAAGTAGAGTCAGGCAAGAAAAAGATCGAGGCCAACGACAAGAAGGTAGAAACATACAACTCCAGGGTCGATCAGATCCCGGGAGCACCGCCGATATTGAAGGGGCGGACTCCAAAACATTTATTCAGAAGCCCATCCCCCAGAGCGCGGCACCGAAGCCTATCCTGAAGAGGTTTTGAATGCCCGACATTCCCGAGTACAATGGGACCACGGATCCAAATGAGCATGTAACCTCCTATGCATGCGCGATCAAAGGGAACGACTTGGAAGATGACGAAATCGAGTCAGTGTAGTTTGGGGAAACTTTGTCCAACAAGGAAATGATATGATATCACAACTTACATTCTATTGACTCGTTTGCTATGATCGCAGATGCTTTCGTGAAGGCCCATGCCGGAGCCATCAAGGTCGAGACTAGAAAGTCAGATCTTTTCAAGGTCAAATAGAGGGATAACGAGATGCTTAGGGAGTTTGTGTCGAGATTCCAGATGGAATGAATAGATCTGCCACCAGTTGCGGATGATTGGTTCGTTTAGGCATTCACTCAAGGGCTCAAACCCCGAAGTTCTGCGACATCTCAACAGCTAAAATAAAATTTGGTGGAGTACCCAAGGTGACCTGGGCTGATGTCCACAACAGATACCAGTCGAAGATCAGGGCCGAAGACGACCAACTTGGGGCCCCTTATGGATCTGTTTACCTCATCAGAACCGATGACAAGTCTAAGAGAGCCATTGATCAGGAGCCAAGGCCGGTCCTAGATCGGTATCAACCATACAACGTGGATCAAAGGGGGAACAGATTCGGGTGTCACCCGACAAGGAAAGAGAAGCGAAGTGATCGAGGACCGAGCGGCTAGGGCCTGATGAGCAAGAGCGGGTTTGATAGGTCGCTCAGGAGCAGGGAAGCGCCAAGATTATCGGAGTACAATTTCAGCGTGGACACTGCAAGCATAGTGTCCGCCATAGGGCGCATCAAAGAGACCAAATGGCGCCGACCGTTGCAATACGACCTTGCCTAGAGAGATCTTAATCTGATGTGTAAGTACCACGGTACTCACGGTCATCGGACCGAAGACTGCCGACAGTTAAGAGAAAAAGTTGCTCGATTGTTCAACAATGGGCACCTTTGAGAATTCCTAAGCGAGCGAGCCAAGAACCACTTTAGAAACAGGGATGCCAAAAAACATGTCGAACAAGAGGAGACTCAACACGTAATCAACATGATCATTAGGGGAGTCGATGTCCCTCTAAGGGCCGATGATAAAATGCACTAAAGTATCAATTACGAGGGAAAAACGCACTCGTGATTATGTCCCGGAAGGAACTATCTCGTTCAGTGATGAAGACACCGAGGGCATCGTACAGCTTCGCAATGATGTATTGGTAATATCCGT